TCAGATGTGCAGCGTTTCAGGTGGGATACACTGCAACAAGGATCTAACTGCGGAGTCACCCTCAGAATCCCATTCAGTCACGGGGCTGCCCTTCTAAGCTGGCAGAAAAGGAACCTGGCCCAGGCACCGTGAACACACACGGTAACTCACACCTGTAATCCCAGCACTCTGGGAGGCTGAGGCAGGAGGATTTCTTGAGAGCAGGAGTTTGAGACCCGCCTGGGCAACGTAGTGAGGCCCGACTCTACAAATAACTTAAGAGATTGTGTATCTGGATGCTAAACTCACAAGGATTTCAGAATGTCGGTAGGAGAGGAGATGTGTGGGCTAGCAACCAATTCCTCAGTGAATGAGGCAGAGAAATTGGTAAAAAGAAGGAAAGTGAAAACAAGAAGGATATTCCCATTTTCCAGGTCTTCCTGGTTCACAGAGTGGGGAGGAAGAAACTATTGAAGAGGAAAGAGTTCTCGTGAAGAGTACAGAATTCCTGCGCTCCCAGGTTCAGGTTCATAAAAAGAAAAGAGAAAAGTTTGCAGCCATGCAGGGTGAACAAGCTCTGAAGATGTGTTATACCGACTAGGGGCTGTAATCAATGTTAGAGACCGTCCCCGACTTCCGATGGCTCCGAGGCAGGAAAACAGGGAATTAGGGTAACCAGGGGTTAAGGTAGAAGCAAAAGAACAGCAGAGGCAGCCAGTTCTAGGCAAGATTAGGCAGCACACAGGCCACATCCTCACTCCTGTGATAACGAGACAGAAGCCTCCACTCCAGCCTCTGATGGACGGTGGGGCCAAGTCTCCACGTCAGCCTCTGATTGGTCGCAGGTCAGTCCTTCATGGGGTGTGGCCAATGGGAGGCCTCTCAAAGGCACCGAGGGGTGTTGCCGGGTTCCTTTTGTTAATCAAAACCCTAATTGAGGAAGCTCTTGGGCCTCTTGCTGGAGCCCCGCTCCCAGTTTGTGAATTGTCTTCAATAAATCTGTGCTTTCCTTACTCCGTTTTTTGTGTGCTGTCTTTTGTTGCTTTGTTCTTTTGTTACTTTGTGCGTTTCATTCAATTCTTTGTTCAACATGCCTAGAACGTGGACAACTCCATCTGGTGACAGATCCACGTACAATTTTTTCTTCTTTACAGTGGTGCTTTCAGCTGTGCACACTGCCGAGCAGGATCCACATGGCCATGCTGTCACTTTCAGTTCAGTGTTCAATAAACTACAGGAGAGAGTCAACACTTTATTATAAAATAGGTTTTCTGCTGGACGATTTTGCCCCACTGTAGGGGAAGGTACGTGTTCGGGGCAGGTTTAGGGTAGGCCAGGCTAAACTATGATATTTCGTAGGTGACGTAATATTAAATGCATTTCTTATCTTCTATATTTTCAATTTACAGTGGGTTTATCAGGATGTAACCTCACTGTAAATTGAAGAGCATCCATACAGTATCCTATACTCGAAATTTGCTAAGAAGATCGATCATGGGCCGGGCACGGTGGCTCCTGCCTGTAATCCATTAATTTGGGAAGCTGAGACCGGCGGATTGCTTGAGCCCAGGAGTTTGAGGCCAGCCTGGGTAACACGGTGAAACCCCATCTCTACAGATAATATAAAAATTAGCCAGGCATGGTGGTTGTATTCCCAGCTGCTTGGGAGGCAGAGGCAGTAGGATCGTTTGAGCCCGGGAGGCGGAGGTTGCAGTGACCTGAGATTGTACCATTGTGCTCCCGCCTGGGTGACAGAGTGAGGTTCTGTCTCAAAAATTAAAAAAAAAACAAAAATGATAGATCGTAATTGTTTCACCACAGATACACACACACACGGACACATGGACACACACACGAACACACACCCACACACGTGGACACACACACACACGAACACATGGACACACACGGGGACGGACACACGGAAACACATGGACACACAAACACACACCCACACATGTGGACACACACATGGACACACACGAACACATGGACACACACGGGGACACACACACGGACACACGGAAACACACAGGAACACATGGACACACACCCACACATGTGGGGACACACACGGACACACACGAACACATGCACACACACACACGGGGATACACACGGACACACGGAAACACGAACACATGGACACACACACGAACACACCCACACATGTGGACACACACACGGACACACACATGAACACATGGACACACACACGGGGACACACACGGACACACACGGACACACGGAAACACACGAACACATGCACACACACACACGGGGATACACACGGACACACATGGACACACGGACACACAAACACATGCACACACACACACACGGGGATACACACGGACACACACGGACACACGGAAACACACACATGGGGACACACACGGACGCACACGGACACACGGAAACACACACATGGGGACACACACACGGACACACACGGACACACGGAAACACACACGAACACATGGACACACACGAACACATGGACACACACACGGGGACACACATGGACACACACGGACACACGGAAACACACACATGGGGACACACATGGACACACACGGACACACGGAAACACACACGAACACATGGACACATACGAACACACCCACACACGCGGACACATACACGGACACACGGACACACATACACAAATCAAAGGAAAAAAAAGCAAGCCGGGGTCGTGGCACATGCTCCTAGTCCCCACTATTGGGAAGGCTGAGGCAGGAGGATTGCTTGAGCCCACGAATTAAACATAAATAATGAAAATAGTCACTATGTGAAATGATGAATACATTAATTAGCTTGATTGTAGTGATAATTACACCATGTATAGGGATATGTAAACACCAGCATGGTGACCTTAGGACGGATACAGGCCAGGAATTGGAGAGCAGCCGGGGCAACATAGCGATACCCCCATCTTTACAAAAAACGTTTGTTAATTAACCAAGTGTGGAGGTGCTTGCCTGTAATTCCAGATACTCAGGAGGCTGGAACAGGAGGCTCCCTTGAGCCCAGGAGTTTGAGGCTGCAGTGAGCTATAAGTTTTCCATTGCACTCAGCCAAGGTGACACAGTGAGACCTTGGCTCTAAAAATAAACAAACAAACAAATTTACCCACAGGGGTAGGAGATCACTACCAGAAAAACTATAAAATACTGATGAGAGGAAATGAAGAGGGCACAAAAATGGAAAGATATTCCATGTTCATAAATCGGAAGAATTCATATTGTGAAAATGACCACACTATTAACAGAGATCTACAGACCCATCACAATCCCCACCAAAATGACAAACACATTCTTCATGGGAACAGATTATATGTCCCAAGAGGAGAAGATTTGAGGGAATTGGGTAGGTAGATGGTGGTTTTAGGCAGATTCCAGTTCATTCCCCTTAATAATTCCATTCTGAACTCTGACTCACCATCAACACTTCAGTTATTAACAAGGAAAAATATCACAAACTATGAGAAAATGCATCAGGAAACATGTGCCTGAACTTTTTGGCAAAATGACCTTGTGTCGGGCACTTTACTGACACAGTCTTTTTTCATCTTCAAAACAGCACATCAGGAAGGTGATAATTCCCTGGTTCTATTCACAGGGAGTTTGAAGTTCCCGAAATTCAGTGGCTTGCCTAAGATTTCCCAATGATTTAAACCAGAATCAGTGTAATATTAATAGCCCTCCAATGTATCTTCAATGTTAGATGAGAAAGCTTACTCTGAATTAAAAATGAATGAGCCACAATTTGAATGGATTTGTGAGTCAGTCAGCTGATGCTGTCGACCTCTCCAATTGTAATCTAATCATGCCTAGTACTTGTCATTCCACAATGACTCCATGATCCATGCAGTAAAATTCACACCCACCGTTAAGGCTTTTCATGTTGGAGAGGCCTCAGTCAGGGGGCTGAAACCTAGGGAACCCCACAGGACCCTCAGTGTATCTATAAACCACCCTCGCACCGTCCTGGAGTGAATGCAAAGTAGGGACCACGTGCCTTTCTCTGGTTCCCACTGTTTTCACCTAAGGGTAGGTTGGCTGATACCAAACCAGTGATTTAGACTACTTCCAGCAAAGCTTTCCCGTGTGAATTCCAAGAGTTCGAAAAAGAAAAGTAAATAATCATCACTAATATTTATTATAGACCAGCAATGACTGTATTTTTCAATATCGTGACATTCACATGTGAAAGGCTTTCCTTAAACTGGATTACATCACTGGTTTGATATTAATCCAACAACTCTCAACATGTCCTTTACTTTAGTTGTTAGGATATTACTGTCTGGGTGGCACAAGGGGACCCAAAGTGATTAAAACTTGCGGACCTAGGGCCAGGCGCGGTGTCTTACGCCTGTAATCTCAGCACTTTGGGAGGCCGAGGCGGGCAGATCACGAGTCCAGCCTGGCCAACATGGTGAAATTCCGTCTCTACTAAAAACACAAAAATTAGCCAGGCGTGGTGCTGTGTACCCGTAATCCCAGCTACTCGTGAGGATGAGGCAGGAGAATCGCTTGAACCCAGGAGGCGGAGGTTGCAGTGAGCCAAGATCACGCCACTGCACTCCAGCCTGGGGGACAGTGTGAGAAGCTGTCTCAAAAAAAATCAAAAGAAAAAAAAAAAAAACCACAAAACCAAACAAAATCCCTTGCGGATCTATATTTTCTGAGGTCTCCAAATACTTCAGCAATATGACAAATAATTGAGTAGAGCGGGAAAACCTATGTTTTTTGCACAGTAGGCATGTTTAATACATTAATTTCCTATGGGTGGAGTTTTATTGGGAAATGTAATCAACGCTGATCACCTAAAATGGATTACATGGCCCTAAACCAATCATGGGGCGGCGCAGGGAACAGGAAACGGGGCCTGGAGTCCCTCCGCTTCTCCATAAATACACGCAGTTCAGCTCCAGGCCAGTTGGAGAGCGCATCCCAGATGCAAGGAGGTTGGAGGCAGAAGGCGGGAAGGAGGCAAGTGTCCAGCGGCGATGTCTGGGGGGTTTAGGAGCTGGCGTGCAGGGGGGTTGGTTTCAGAAAGATTTGGGTTTATTTTCTCATGCATTTGCTTGGAGACCTCGTGAAGGCAGTGGGTCTCCTTTGCACCCCATCGTTAGCTCTGGCTTGTTATGCAACCCTTCTGTAAATAGTATTAACTTTCTCTTCGTGGGTAGGTTACATTTTAGAGACAGGGTCTTGCTCATAGCCCAGGCTGGCTGGAATTCCTGGTCTCCAGCCATTGGTGGGACTTCACTTCCCGACTAGCTGGGACGACAGGCACCTACCTGCCAACAGACCCAGATACATTTTAAATTTATTTGTAGAGCTGGGGTCTCGGTATGTTGCACAGGCTGGTCTTGAACTCCTAGGTTCAAGCGACCATCCCACCTGGGTCCTCCAAACAGTTGGAATTACAGGCGTGAGCCACCTTGCCCGGCTGCACACCACTTGTTAAAAAGTGTCACTGGATTTTTCCCTTTCCACAGGGTAAAATCAAGCCATTAATGAATGGGCATCAACCCACTAGGCCAATGAGAATCTGAGCTGTGTCCCTACCTGGGTGTCCTGTGTGCTATATACTCCCAGAATTGAATACTAACCTGCGTACCTGCCTGTATTTTTTTCCCGTGTTCCATTGCTTGCTTTAATGGGAGAAGAACTGAGAGTGAATACACAGCGATTTCTAGGAACATGAAATCACTTTTTCAACAGTCAGGTTCTCACTACGTTGCCCAGGCTGTTATCAAACTCCTGGGCTCAAGTGATCCTCTTGCCTCAGCCTCCCGAGCAGCAGCAGGCACCCTGTGGCAAAGCCACTTTTAAATCCAGAATCTTAGGCTCTCTTTTCTCTCTCATATTTGTATGCTTTTTTCAAAAAAAATTAATTTGCTTTCAAATTGAAAACTAAAAATTGTATGTAGTTGTGGTGTACAGCATAATGTGCTTTGTAGGATATAAACGCTGTAAAATGGCTAAATTGAGCTAATATCCATATGCCTTACTTAAAGTACTAATCATTTTTGGCGGTGAGAGTACTTGATTGAAATCTACTCTTTTAGCAATTTCCAAGTATACAATACATTGTTATGAACTGAAGGCACCATGTTGGATTCTCTTGAATTCATTTCTTCTACTGAAATTTGTACTCTGACCTGTATCTCCCCAGCCCCACCCCAGCCCTGGTAACTACATTCTACTAACTGCTACTGTGAGTCCACTAGGTTTTAAAAATTATTATTTATATCATCTACTTCTTTTTTAATTTTAAAGTGATTTTAACTTGTATTTTAGATTCGGTGGGTACCTGTGCAGACTTGTTTCATGAGTATATTGAGTGATGCTGAGTTTTGGGGTATGACTGAACCCATCACCCAGGATGTGAGAAGAGTACCCGATGGATAGGTTTTCAATCTTCCCTCCCTCTGTCCCTCCAGAGTTTCACTGTTTTGGAGTCCACGTCCTGATTCCCTTTCCTCTGCATACATGCCCAGGAGCGGGATTGCCGGATCATGCAGTTGTCGTACTTTTAATTTTCTGAGGCGCTTCTATACTGTCTTCCATATCAGCTGCACTAATTTACGTCCCAACACAGGGCGCAGAGGATCCCTTTCCTCCAAATCCTCACCAACACTAGATCCATGTGTCTTTTTGGGAACAGCCACTCTAGCAGGCGTGAAGGGTGCCTTGTGGTTTGGATTTGCGTGTCCCTGATGATGAGTGACGATGAGCACCTTTTCCTAGACCTGCTGGCCATTCACATGTCTTCATCTGAGATGTCCACACAGGCGCCTTGCCCTCCTTCTAGTGGGTTATGTGTTTTCTTGCTATGAAGTCGTTTGAGTTGCTAATGTTTTGCATAGGAACTGCTTGTCAGATGTGTGATTTGCGAATATTGTCTCCTGGGTTATCTTCCCCCTCTGCCGATTGTCTCCCTGGCTGTCTCTCTGTTCTGCACTTGTTCAGATTCCTTCCAGGAAGCATAGGGTTCCCATCCTTCGGGATTCCAGTGACCTTTCCTGAGACCCTCCTGTCAATTCTTTCTTCTTTCTGAAGACCTTCAGGTTGCTTCCCTCACCTGTGGCTAGGAAGGCAGGGCTGCGTTCTCATAGCTGTTGAACTTGGATAATTGATGCCTGGAGAGTTATCACACAGTGACTCCTGCCTAATGAAATTACATTTAGAACCAAATTTCAAAAAATCGTTCTTTCTCTCTTTGTTTTTTTTTTTTTTTTTTTTTTGAGACAGAGTCTCGCTCTTGTTGCCCAGGCTGGAGTGCAATGGCGTGATGTCGGCTCACTACAATTTCCACCTCCCGGATTCAAGTGGTTCTCCTGCCTCAGCCTCCCAAGTAGCTGGGATTACAGGCGCATGCTACCACACCCGGCTAATTTTTGTATTTTTTAGTAGAGATGGGGTTTCACCATGTTGGTTAGGCTGGTCTCGAACTCCTGACCTCAAGTGATCCTCCCGTCTCAGCCTCCCAAAGTGCTGGGACTACAGGCATGAGCCACCACACCCGGCCTCAAAAAATCTTTCTATTGTATTACTTCACTTCCTGAACATTTTATAGAGCACTAGACTTTAAATCCATTTTCTGAGATGAGATTAGGAATAGAGAAACCCTTAGAGACAGAAGGTAGATTAGTGATTGCCAGGTGCTGGGGTGGGTGGGCAGGGGGTGATCACTGATGGGGATGGGGTTCCTTTTGGCCTGATAATTCTGGAACTAAACAGTGGTGATGGTTGCACAGCATGGTGCATGTCTTAGTGCCAAGAAATTGTGCACTTGAAGAGGGTAAAAATGATGAAATTTATGAATGTGCATTTTACCAAAATAACAATATCTGTGTAGGACTTGAATTCTCTTATGATTACTTAAAGTTCTCCCTTCCCTGGAGCAAACAAATGTCCTGGGGTTAACAAGAAAAGGTGTTGGGGGGAAAACTGTAGGTTGTAACTATTTTTCTCTATCTTTGTGCATAATTATGATGAAGGGCTTTACCTTGGATCTTGTCTGGACAGGCAAACGTGAAGAACTTAAGTTATTGTTGCATCAGATCTTAGCAGCTTTACATAACTATCCTATTTAATTTACAGTTGGGAACCATGTTGTTCCAACTGAAAAAAAAAAAATACTGATTCCACTTCTGCACAATGATTTCCTGGAGATCAGGATCCAGGGGAGCATTAAGATTTTAAATCAGAACATATAGTCAGGTGTAGACACTGGAAGAATAACAGGGTGGGTTGATTTCCACTGTGCTGAATTCGATGCTGCTGAAGAAGTGGCGTCCAGGATTGGGATGAGGGTTTTGGAAGGGATGGGTGGATAGACTAGAAGCTTAAACTGATCGGGCTCATGATTTTTTTTTTTTTGCAGACTTCTGAACAGTGAATCTATTACTGAGGAAAACCAAAGGAGGCCTGTGTAGATAGGTCTCAGTTAGACACCAGCTACTAGAAGAGCTTTCTCAGAGACTGATTGGAATATTCTCCATTAGATATGGCTGCAAATTGCACATCCTCATGGCGTCAGAGAGAACCCTGCAACAGACCTGGGTTGGAGCTGCCACAGTCTATGGCATCCTCAGAAACTCAACTTGGAAATTACGACGTGGACCCTGAGATTTCTCACGTGAACTTCAGGATGTTCAGCTGCCCAGAGGAGTCGGACCCCATCCAGGCTCTGAGGAAACTCACTGAGCTGTGCCATCTGTGGCTGAGGCCCGACCTCCACACCAAAGAGCAGATCCTGGACATGCTGGTGATGGAGCAGTTCATGATCTCCATGCCCCAGGAGCTCCAGGTCTTAGTCATGATGAACGGCGTGCAGAGCTGCAAAGACCTGGAGGACCTGCTGCGAAATAACAGAAGACCCAAGAAATGGGTGAGTGGGACCCTCCTGATTGGCTCAGGGAAGGGGAGCTGGGATGGGGGCTGCACGGTGCACCTGGACTGGAGAGGACCCGAGGGGCTGCTCTAGGTCGGGGCTTCCAAGTAGAGGAGAGTTAGCCCGTCAGGGGCACATGGCAGTGTCTGGGGACAGTTTTTGGTTGTCACAACGGGGAGGTCAGGAGATGCTGCTAAGCTTTCTCCAAAGCTCAGGACAACCGACCATGACAAATAATCATCCAGATTCAAATATCAGCTGTGCTGAGATGGCCAATTCCTGGTGTAGGCGATGGACAGGCAGAGGGAATACAGGGATCTACACACTGTGTGAGGCCAACATGAAAGAAAGACATTGGAACGTAGGGAAGGAGGCATTAGAGTGAACTCAAGGGGGGCCCAAAAGTCCCACCCTGAGGCAGGGAAAGTGGTTGGTATCAGAGATCCAGGGATCTGTTTCCAGGTCCCCAAATGAACCCCTAAGTTCCAACACAAGGTGAGCTGCCATCAGCCAATTGAGTGGGATTCACCCAGAATATTTCTCCTTCTCTTCTCTTTGGTTTAGAGACTCTTTCATCCAAAGGACTCATATTTATGTACTTATCTAGAGAAGAAAAACATTCAGACAGGATTGCTGTGTCCACAGAGCTGACTCTGCATCGGGAAGGCAGATTTGAACATTAATTACAGTAAAGTTTGAGCATTATGGCAGGACCCAGGGAATATAAGAGCTACTTTCAGGTTCTCATAGTGAGTCTGATTGTCTTTTTTCCCTCTACAGTGTGTAGTCACCTTCCAGGGAAAGGAATATATTGTGCAGGACTCAGATGTTGAGATGGCTGAAGGCCCCACCAGTGTCAGGGATGATCCGAGAGGCATGTCCAGCCAGCGGGCCTCCTCTGTGAACCAGACGCGTCCGGGGGAAGGCCAGGCCCGCCGAGAGCTGCAGACCCTGCCCAGGGTCCCTGCGCTGTCCAGGAGGCAGGTGAGTGTGTGAGGCCTTGGTGTCTGGGCAGAGGTGGGAGAAGGAATAGGAGGAAATCATGTGTCCACTGGACTGACTGACAGATTTGGCACAGGACAAGAATAGAGACATTCCCCATGTATGTGTTACATCCTTAGACATTCCTGAGCCATCACAGAGAGGGAAGCTACATCTACTTTTCTCTCCACCATGAGAGCTTTTAGCATTGAGGGCGAGGGGTAAGAAATGGTCTCAGTGAAGTGAGGGAGGCAGTTGGCACAGATGAATGAACTGAAGATCCCTTCCCCACCTAGTTTCCACAAAGACATTTCATGAAGTCATTCAGCAAGGAACCCACTGTCTCAGACTGTTGATTTCTTAATTTGAGGAGGGTTTCTCAACTGCGGTGATTTTGCCTTTCCAGACACA